AGCTGATGCTGGCTCTTCAAGAAGCATTCCTCTAAGGAGGGAAACAGCCTTGCCCTGGAGCTCTCCCCATGGGCTCCTCATGGCATGTGACACATCAGTCCCCAGCCACCCTGACAGCTTCTCTCCCCGCCACAGGCACGTGCCTCCATGCAGGCAGAGATGGTCCTGAAGGAAGAGGAGGCTGAGCGTCAGCGTAAGCGCATCATGGAGCTGGAGGAGATGCAGGAGCGGCTCCAGGAGGCCCTGCAACAGGAGGTGAAAGCACGGCACGACGAGGAGTCCGTGAGATATGCACAGGCCAGGTAGGAGCAGAGCCTCCCTGCATCTTTTCCACCGACCCTCCTCCCAGGGGCAGGGCTGCCAGAGATGCTCCCCAGGGTGATTCAGCTGTCCTCAATTGCTCCCTGGGGAGCCAGCGTGCTTCTGATGCCAGGAATGTGGGGAGCTGATGGATGAAGTGGCAGAGGGATGTCTTCACCTTGTGCGCTTTCTTGGCAGGCTACTGGCTGAGGAAGAGGAGAAACTGAAGCAGCTGATGAAACTGAAGGAGGAGCAGGAGGAATACATCATCAAAACTCAGCTGGAGAAGCAAGTCCTCAAGCAGGAGATGGAGAACAAGAACAAGTGTTTGGAAGAGGCCCAGAAGCAGCTGGAAGAAGTGAGAGTGAACAGGCAGCGGGTGGACCAAGACGTCATGGTGAGCATCACCCTAGTGCCTCTTCCTATCACACTGAAAGACCCAGGGGACTTTCCAGGCCTCCCCTGAGTCACCTCCATGCTGGAGAGAACCTGGGGACCTGCTGTCACGCAACCTGCTGCAGCCAGGCTGGGTTTCAGGGTTACATCAGCTGCAGCAGGGAGAGGAGATCTAAGGTTTTCTCCTGAAGGTTTGCAGAACTGTGCCAGGCTGGTGATCATCTCATAAAGCCACTGAAGCAGGGAAGAGGCTGTGGCCGTTCTGCCCCCATTTTGCTGCACTGGCAGATGCTATTTTGAGAAGTCTGCTGATGGGGTGGGTGCTGTAGAAAATGCTGGCATTTTCTCACTGCACAGCTCTGGGATTTTCTGAGCTGTGCCATAGGGTGATTTGTTGGCTCTTGGTGTGTCCCTAAGAGGGCAGCAATGTCAGGCCAGGGAACGTGTGGAGCAGGGAGGGCTGGGAGCAGGAGGAGTGGAAGACCAAAGGAGGGTGTGCTGCCTCCATCCTAGAGAGAGCCTCCAGCCCAGGTTCAGGAAAGAGAAAACTCCTGTCAGTGGTCCTGGGTCACTCTGCTCTGTCTCTTTGCAGGCAGCCCAGCGGAAGCTGAGGCAGGCCAGCACCAACGTCAAGCACTGGAACGTGCAGATGAACCGCCTGATGCACCCCATCGAGCCAGGAGGTAGGAGACCTTCCCCATGGCACGCAGCTCAGTGCTGCTGCTGGTTCTCCTGTCCTGTCCTCTTCTTTGGGACACTCGGAGAAGACAGACAATTTTTTTTTTTAAATCTGTTTCCAGACAAACGTACAAACATGAGTGGAGGAGGCTTTGCTGGCTACCCACCCCTCATGTGCCGGAGAGATTCCTCCCTCAAACTCAAGCAGAAAGTAGAGGATAAAGGCAGTGACCCCATGAGGGAAAGCAGCAAAGAGAACGTGAGCAATGGCGGGAGCAGCAGCCCACTGCCGTCTTCAGATGCAGACACCATGGCCACAGAGCCCTCCAACCAGTAGCAGGATGGCAGAGCCCAGCAGGCCTGGTCAGCATGGTCATCTCGGGTTGGAGATCAGCAGAGACCAGCACCAAGCCCATAGGTGACTGACTACATGTAGAGCAGAGATGCTCCATGCTGCAGCCACAACTGCCAAGAACTCAGCCCAACTTTGGGAGAACACAGCAGGGCCATTTCCTCCTCTGGGCTGCCCAGGTGTGTGGTCTGGATTCACCTCCCTGCACACCAGACACTGGTTTCAACACTGCCTGAAGATGCCACCAGTGGGTCTGGACTGTGTGGCCCAGGACTGCCATTCCCCCGTGGTTTCTACTGGCTGTGCCAGCAGCATCATCCACTGTGCCTTTGGACACGTTGTCCTCAAAAGGGGCCTCCAGGGCAGCTTTAGGGACTGAGCGGTGCCTTCTCACTACCCCTACACAAAGGGCACTTTTGGCAATGACCAGGTGGACCTATATGTCCTTAACTACACATGCATTCCCTGAAAGTGGTTGTTAAGTCACTGGAGTCACATAGATGTCAATATAAATCAAGAAGTAATAAAGCTTTTGGAGCCACTGGCCCATAAACCTTATTCCCTGCATATCTGTGGCCCTGCAGGGACCTGATTTGCTTCGTGTGCAGTGCACGGTTTGGATTCCCAGCATAGAAAAGAGCCCAACAAATGAATACTGACCCAGTGGAATGTGGTTTGGTCTAGGAGGGCCAAGAGGAACAGAGAAGTGTCTGTAGATGATGAATTGCAATGGGTATCCTCTGGGAGTGCCAGCACCTCCTTATAATTAATTTATAGGAAGGGAACGGTGCTCTGGGCTAATGTCCTCACCCTTGAATTGCAGGAGACCCTTTTCAGAGTCCCATTTCAGGTTCAGTCCAAGGCCTGCAGAAGGCAGTAGAAAGAATTCCCAAGGCAGCAGGGCTGGGCTCTGCTGTGGCAGTAGGTGGCTGTGTCAGCTCCCTTCAATGGCATCAGCCTGGTCTGCCTCCTTCAGTTAATTTGTTCCCTGAAAGACGAGAACAAAAGCCGAAAGTCTCCTGGCCAACCTCCTTGCACACAAAAACCCCACAAACATGGAGTTTCATTTTTTCAAGCCCCTCTGTTAAATACAGTCATATTTCTGACTTTGGACCCTTCATTGTTTCAGAGGGACCCCTTCTGAAAACACATCGTTTGCAAGCCCTGCACCAAACCCAGGTTCACAGTAGCTCATGATGCAGTTTAACTGCAGTTCGTTAAGGAGATTGCAATCTATTTCCTACTGGCATGGCTTTGAGCGGTTGCTCACAGAGCTCTTCCTCCCCCTGGTTTTTACAGTGCTCTTTTCTTACGGTTATTTTCACAGAGAGGCTGTGTTTGCAGGCCCATGTGCATGACGTGGCTGCCCCTGTACAAAGCAGCTCTGTGTGTCTGTGGGGGTGCCCAGTAGCCCCGTGCCCCAGTCCCACGCAGCTCAGAGGGGGCACGGGTGGCTGCAGCCTTCGTGATGATGGCCTCGGGGACCCATCCTGCCAGCCAGGGGCTGTGGCAGCTCAAATGTGTCACCTTTCCTCCTCCTCCTCACTGTGCTGGGTACTGCGGGATATTGAGCAGTGCTGTATGGCCGTGACAGCCCTACACAGTCTCCAGGCAGACCTGGAGTCTCTGCCTGGCTCTGATATGACAGTGTACCATTTCTTGCATCGAGGTGTGGCACTGATCCCTGCAGCTCCCCAGGTGACCCCAGCACAGCAGTTGCAGCCCCATGAGACCCTCAGGCAGAGGGAGGAACCAGGAGCGTGCGGGAAGGAAATGGGCTGTGTGGAAATGTGCTGATGGGAGGCAGCACCATCCTTCATCAGCCCATTAGCTCAACCTTTTCCCTGAGCGGTGTTGGGATTGGTGCCATGCCACACCTATGCCAGGAGGAAAAGAGCCACCTCCACACAACCTCAGCTTTGTCAGAAGGGCTCTATGACCCTAGGAGGCATGCGGGGGTGACCGTGCCATCACCTCTCACCAGCTCTAGGGTTGCACCAACTTTCTTTAAAAGCAACTCATCAGAATGTAGCTTCTGCTCTGAACAGCCTAGTTCCTGTGCACCAGAATTAATGGTATGAGGACAGGCGTGGAGGGAACGTCAGGCGCCACTGTCAGCACTGCCTTTGGTCGGCTGCCAAGCTGTGAGCAGCCAGGCCTGTCCCATCCTTCAGGAGCAGCAACCTGCCTGAGTCAGCAGCGGGCGTGCAGTGCTGGGATGTGCACCAGCACCTCACCCTAAGAATAAACTCCTGCAGAAAGGTTGCAAGGAGGTCCTCACTGCAAGAAAGACATCAAAGCCCTGGAGCACGTCCAGAGAAGGGCAAGGCTGTGAAGGGTCTGGAGCACAAATCTAACGACTAGTGGCTGAGGGAACTGGGATTTAGTCTGGAAGAAGCTCAGGAGAGATAGTGTAGCTCTCTGTAACTCCCTGAAAGCAGTGCCAGGCCTGTTCTTAATTGTGGTTACATCTCATTAATGAGGGGCATCATCAACCACAGCACGAATGAGGCTTGTGCTTTAAAACATACCACCACTGATTCCATCAGCCGGCACTGTGGTTTACCCAAGGCATGAGGGTGTAAGCTCAGCCCAGTCCAAGAACTTTGAGCACAGTATAAGAGCAGAACGAGAGGGAGGTGCTGGGGAGCGGAGGGGAAGCCTCATAGCTCCCCAGGCCAGGCGCCCCCATCCCCCGGCGCCATTTTGTGCCTCCACCCCCCCCTCTTTACTTAGCGCGCCCGCGGGCAGCTCCTACATTTCCCATGATGCCCCGCGCCTTTCACGCGAGAAGGAGATGTGCGTCCTGAACCCGCCAGGGGGCGCCGTGCGACAGAGAGGAGGCGGGGCGAGCTTGGGCCGTTGCCGTGGTGACGCGGTACTCACTTCCGGGCTGCTCCGATTGGCTGCGGGGCGCTGGGAATGCGGTGGCGTCAGGGCGGGCGCGGTGACGTGAGGCTGCGGGGGGCAGCGGCGGCGGCGGCGGAGCTGCGGGACGGGAGCAGGGCCGTCACGGGAGGTGAGGACAGGGCGGGGGTCGCGAGGGGACACGGGGCGGGAGCAGCACGGAGGGGCGTAGGGATTTGGTGTGGGGTGCTGTGAGCACGTGGGGGTGGGGGGCTGTAGGGTGGCGGGGGGACGGGGGCTGTCGCGCGGGGGGGGAGGGTGCGCGGGGGGGATCCTGAGAGCTACGTGAGGGGCTGGGACGGCTTGCTGAGGGCTTCCTGAGGGATGGGGGGCTCTTTGGAGGTGGGGACAGTGGGTTAATGAGGGTGCAGGTGCTCTTTGCAATGGGGAAATGGCCAGGCTGGGGGTCAGGGACAGGCGTGTCCCCAAAGGTGTGTGGCTTCAGGGGACCCCTGAGGTGCTCTGCTGGGATGTGGGCAGGAAGGAGAAGCAAAAGGATGGGGATCGAGGAACGTTTGGATTTTGAGTTGAGGGACGTGGTTTAGTGTTGGTGATGGGTGGATGGTTGGACTGGATGATCTTGAAGGTCTTTTCCAACCTTGGTGATTCTGTGGATGGCCTTCCCCAGGGGCTCCCCCAGGCGGCTTTGTTGGCCTCTGGTAGGGAAGCAGGGGTCCCATCCTTGCTGCGGCTCCCTCTGATTTTCTGCAGCGATGGCGTAAAGGACTGCCACCTTTATCCACACTGGCTGTAGACCAAGCAGTCCATGCTGGGCTGCACCCTCCCCCAGGGGGCCTCTGCCCTGTGGTGGCACCAGCTCTGCTGACTGGGTGGACTGGAGCTTTTAACGAGCTTGAGAAGCACTTGTAAAAAGTCCCAGGTGAAAGGTAAAGCATTGTGCAGAAGTAGGAGGCAGGGCCTCTGAACGAGATGTGATTTTCTTTCACCTCCCACTTCCCTCTTTTGTTTTTTATTTCCAACCTGCTGTGTTTTTTCCCTCTTTGTTGGCCACCTCCAAGGGCTGTCATCACAAGCAACAAGGATCCTGCTTTTGCATCCAACTGTTTTGACCTCTCCTTTTTTTTGTGGTCAAAATGCCTCCTGGCCTTATTATACTTTCAAAGGTTTCTGTGTGCTGACTCCACCTCAGATAATGCTTACCTGCCTGATTTGTTTATGGGACTCCAGCTTATTTACACAAGGCAATGAATTAGGCCTCACAAAATATTTACGAGGTAGGAGTGTTGTGCTGTAGTGCCCCTGGATGGGAAATCAGGGCACAGAGAGGCTCAGTGGCTGAAGGTGCAGCTTGGAGCAGAGAGCAGACCAACCCTGTGCAGTGATGCTCACAGCATCTGCTGGCCATCAGCTGCATTGTGTCTTGGAACTTCAAACCCAGTGTGGTTTCCTCCTTCCAGGCAGCCTTGGCCTTCTTACCTCCAGCAGCTGGGCCAGGAGGCCTCGTGCTCACTCACATGCTAGGACAGCCCTGTGTGAGGGGCTGAAGATTTACAGTGCAGGAGGACTGAAGGTGCAAGTTGGTCACCCTCGTACATCAGCCCATGTTGTACTTCTAGTTTTTGGTCTGAGAAGTCTCACTGTGTAAACTCCTTGCTGCCTTCAGGAGAATCCTTTTCCCTGGCTGACAGAAACATGTCGGGTGTGAGTTTTCCTTGTGACTTATCATCCAAAACTGCAGGAGGAAGCTTTCAGGATTGATGTGCTGGCAGCTCCCTCTGCACCCTGCTGAGCTGGTGCAAGCAGTGCATTGTGCACACTGTGCTGGGCATGCCCTGGCACTTGCCTGCCAGCTGCACAAGGTGAGCTGGTGATTTAGTCTTAGTGCTCAGATCTCTGGCAGCAGCAGTGAGCGCTCTGCCCTGTGCTGGGGGCAAGCCCAGGGTGTGATTTGTGCACTCTGTACATGATTCATATGTTGGTTAACACTGTCAACTTTGTTACCGAGTTGGGGATGGGTTTTACTGCTGGTGGAAATGAAGTAAGCCAGCTCCTGATGTGCCAGTGGGGATGTAATAACTTTATTACCTTTTCTCATCAGGAAGTTAATGAAGAACATTGTCTTGATGTTTGGTGGGAAAAACCACCTTCTGTTTTTGGGGTGGGATTTGAAGCCTGCTGCAGCCACAGCATTCTGCTATGACTGTGGAGCTGTGGTGGGTGCTTGACAGCCCTGCTGGAGCAGAGGGCTTGGCTGCAGGACCTGTGCCCTCCCCTTGGTGACATCTGCATGTGTGCAGCGCCACTGTGCCACAGCCTCTCCCTGCAGAGCAGAGGTGATCGCTTGCTTTGAAGGGGCTGATCTTTGTATTATCTGTACTTTTATATTACTGCTAGGAAGAGAGATTGTGTTGGGACTGACGCTCTGCTCCAAGGGACGGGGATTATTCTCCAGGCTTGTGCCCTCCCCTGGATGTGCCTGGTGCTGATCAGCCTGCTCCATGCCCACCCTGTAAGCCTCTCCAAGAGCACAACAAATTGTTGCTTTGGCTTTTGGGACAGATTTGCTTCTTCCTTGGCGTCGTCATGGCTATCTGTAACTCCTGGTGCCTGTTGGAGCTGGGAGGTAGGTGCAGGAGAGGCTGCAGTTTGCAGGTGTGGGATCAGTGCTGGGCTGCCTCAGGAGCCTGCTGCTGCTGGAAGGGGCAGTGCTGCAGAACGGGGCTTTTCCATCAGGGTGGGAGGAGCAGCTAAGCCTATGCAATGTCAGGGAGGGTACGTGGGTTCAAGTAGCATCATGTTCACAGCATCTTTGTTTAGTGTTAGTCCAGTTAGTCTGCATAACTGTCTAAAAATAGAGCATATTTTCTGTAAGTCCTCTCGTTCAAAGTCTTCAAGACTTTTTTTTTTTTTTCTTTTCCCCCAGCAGTGGTCTCTGACTGCTCTCCTGTGCCTGCAGTTATTTGCAACACTATCAGGAAAACCAAGAGGGGTGAACTCTGGTAAATCCTTAAGTTTCAAGAACCGGAGAGGTTCATTAAAGTTGCAGTAACTCTCATGCAGCCTCCCAAGGAGGTCAAGAAAGCAAACCACCTCATGGCCGTAGCAGGTTTTTTCAATGAGCTCTATGTTTTAATATCAACTTTGCACACAGTCACAAAAATTGGGGATAATGGAGCTGCAAATGTGGCCAGCACAAGGGGAAGGCAACACAGTGGCTGAGAGAAACTCAGCCCAGCAAGTGGCTGCAGCGCGCAGCAGAGGGAGTGTGTGTTTAAATTTCAGAGACGTCGCTGGATCTGTCCCAGTTCTCCCAGCGGCATAAATATCTGGCCTTCAGCACAGCTGTGGAAATCCGTGTTGTGTTCTCTTGCAGATCACTCTGGTCCCCAGCTCTCCATGCTGACATGGTAACGGAACGGCGGCTCTCAGCGGCGGGCAGGCAGGGACAGCTGCAGAGAGGTAACTTTTCCCTTCTGCCTTCAGGTCTGAAAAGCACGCTGCTTATTTTTATTAAAACCTGGGGTAGGGAAGAGCCGAGGAAGAGCTTTCACCAAGTCTCACTTTTCCCTGTGAGCAGAGACGTTCTGAAGTTGCTTCTTAATTCTAAATCCTGTGCCTTACTTTTTGCTCAGTTTCTGAATGTGGTCTTTCTGGATTCTGCTGAGGCGTGCGCTTTAAGCATTGTGGTCTCACCCTGTTCCTCTGAGCCAACAGCTGCTTTCGAACTATAACAGTGTTTGGTTACTTCATGGTTTATACAGTTGAAATTGCCTTTTAAATTGGAGAGGACTGCACTTAGGTAAATGATCACCTACCTATCGCTCACGCAATCTGGCACCAATGTTGACAACATCTGCTACTGCATGACTGCTTACTCAGGCAAAACTGAGCGGGTTATTACTGTTTCAGCCCTGCAATAGAGGACGTGGCTCAGACTCCAGTGCTGCCCATGGTGATGCTCAAGTTCCTCAGGATGGTCACTTGCATGTCTGTGCTGAGGGGGTGGGTTTATTTCTGCCACAGCACACATCTGATGTATTCAGCTGGATGGAGATGGGGCAAAGTTATAAAATGTCTCTTAAAGTTTATGCAACTGTTCTGCTCTCTCAGTGCTGGCATTTGGAACGTGGACTTCCAAGGAACTTTGCAGTGTATGGAGAGGATTTTGTAATGAGCCACATGAGGCTGTGTTGATCAGGGAAGCATTGTTGTGCAGAATTGCTTGCTGATGTTAACGGTCTCCTCTCGAGAGTGTTGTCTGTTGACAAATCTGTATTTTTGTACAGTACATCTTGTTGTGTTTGGGGGAATGTTTCTGCTGTGGCTTTTCAATTATGAACTGCAACTCTACTGTGTTCTTAGAGACTAAGAGATTGGCACAGTAAGGGGCTCACAGATTCCTTCAGGCAGCAGGAGCTGACAGGCAAGTGATTTTTAATCAGGTGCGATGCTGTTCGAGTGCTTATGGCTAAGAGATTATTTGCTGCTGGAACACAGTCAGGCTTGCCCTCACTATGGAATTTCAGGGGTGTGGGCTTGTTTTGTTGTTTGTATTGGCTGCCATGGGTCTGCTTTTGCATAAGGTGCTGCAGAGAAGAGAAGTCTCTATTTTTTTTTAGAGTTATCACTGTTCAGAGATGCTACTTGTCACTGTTGCAGAAATTTTTGAGACTCTGGCAAAGTAAAGACAGGCACAAATGATTTCCATAGTGAGTACAAATGGGATTCTTCAGTAGAAGAGCTATTTTATTTCTTTAATCTTGTACTCTAGAACACATTTGCATTGGCAGAATGCCTAGGAAGTTACTTTTCATAGAGTATTGCAATTGATGCCAATATGAACCCTGTAGACCCAGGAATGAGAATGGTTTTCGATGGACTGCTGCCTGACTGCAAGAACAGAGCAGAACTGATTTGCGATGGGTCTTAGTTTCCAGTAATGCTCTAAAATTACTGTTGTGATCACAGTGTCTGACACGTGTCTGTGTCCTTCAAGAGCTTGTGAATATGAACATCACAAGGGATCAGGTATGTGCTGGGGTGCTTCCTTGGGAAACCCCCCCAACAGATCTTGCTCAAAAGGCAAACCTGAGGCTGCAGTTTGCAGGGAATCCTGACCTGACAGAGGTGTCAAGATGAAAGCATACAAGTCAGAAACACTTCGCTCCTGTTGCTGGGTTCTCAGCAGGGCATCTTTCTGGCTTGTGGATAGCAGCAGCCAGATGGTGCTTGTGTTAACCAGAAACAGTGCCCCCGTGCTGTGTTTTTCTGGTTTGCCCATCTGTGAATTGCAACTCTGCATGGGAAAAAATAGAACATGCAAGTTCAACCCAATGACATATGGAATGCAGATAAGGAATGGATATGATGGTTTATAAGGGCAGGTGAGCTTTCTTATCTAAGTTGATAGGGAAGTTTTGGGGTTTTTCTGGTGATCTGTTAAGGCAAACTTTGCTCTGAATCATATTGCTGGTAGTAAATGTCTCTCTAGGAAAGGTGTTGTCAGGCTAAAGAGGGAACAGGGGAGATGCGTCACCTCAGTGGTGCTCAAGTCTCGATCCGGTCTGATGTTTTTGTTTTTAATGCAAGTCTCAATTTCATCTTAATGCAAATCTGAAATGTGCCTTAAAGTACCTAAAATTGTTCTTAACATTATGCTGATTTTTATGGATTTTACCAGAGCTGTGGGACCATGGAAGCCGTCAACCCTGTGAGGGCTGATGCAAAAAGTCTGTGGGTTCTCATATCTGTGAGGAGGGGTTATTTGTGTGACTTAGGGACATCAGAAAAGAGCTGATGGTGTGCATGCATGAGTGTGGGGTTGGGGCTGGGGAGGTCCTGGGAGCTCTATGTATTGGGCTCACAGTTGTGCCCAAGAGGTGAGGGTATTACGAAAGGTGCTGAGGCTTTGCTACAGTGTTTTGTTCTCTAGGAGCCGAGGCAGAAGTCCAAGCAGTCAGGAGCATGCTGAGATCCTCTCCTTGGCAGGGGTCACTGATCCTATCGCGGCTGAAAACAGGGAAACTTCTGCTCCTCCCTCAGCTCTTGCTACACTGAGCGTAGCCAAAAATAGTAAGGAAACATCTCTCTTCCAGATCTCTGAGAGGGTGTTGAACTACTTTGTGCAACAAAGTTATTTTAATGCTCTCCGGATGCAGTCAAACTCAGATTTGCTCTCTCTCTCTCCCTTTCTGTGGCTGAAGGGGAGATGAAACGAGCGTGGCAATTTGTTCCAACCACTTCGGTGCGGACGTTCCCAGGCTGTGCTGAATCATCTGAACCCGTGCCTGGGCATAATTGCTCACTGTCAGCTGTGTCCTGGGATCAGGGCTGCATGCCGAGTGCTCGGGATATTTTGCTACGGTCTACAAAATATGTAGTGCATTGCTGGGAGTCCAAGTGTAAGCATAGCAAGCTTACAGACTGGTAGCTTTAGCACAGGGGATCTCAATCACTGCAGAAAGGTTTGATGATATTTTTGTGGCTGGTTTCCTGGATTTGGGAGTACCTGCTGCCTGGTTTTAGGTCTTGCTGGGTACTTGGCTCCTGCCAAATTTGGCTCCAGTGACTCAGAGCAGTGGCCTGCTGCTGTGTTTCTCTGTTTCCCTGTTGCTTTTCCAGGGGTCTGATCGCCCTGTGAGGACGCTCACTGGTGTCCCAGTGACACAGAGGCTTTGAGGGAAACCGTGCCGTGTTCTGATTGCAGTGCTGTTGTAGGGCAGCCACACTCACTGCCACCCAGTGCTCCCACAGATACGTGCTCCTTGACTCTGGAGTTTGCAGTGGCAACTTGCTGCACTTACTGCTTTCCTGGATTTCCCTTTAAGTGCAGTTCTGAGCTTGTGCCTGTTGTTTGCCTTGGGAACCTCACTGCTGTTCCTGCGAGCTCCTCCCGTCAGCTCTGTTCTATAATTACTGGTGTTCTTGAAACCAGATCCTCCCACGTGGCCTGCTGTGGATCCGTGGACGAGGGGTCTGTAAGCAAAGCCAGCACCTTGGAGCAAATGCAGCAGAACTTGGAGGTTCAGAGAGTGATGACTTTATTTCCCTTTGGGATGGTAAAGGGGAGTGTTCCCAGGCAGCTTCTTGGGCACTTCCAGAGAGGAAGCAGGGATGTAAAAGCAAGCCTGATGCTGGGCACTGGCTCTACATTGGCAGCAGGATGGGCATGTGGGGTCAGGATACCGCGCGTCCTGACAGCTTCACAAGCTGCCTTGCGTCCCTCCCAGCACTAGAAGCGGTTTGAGCTCAATGCAGTGTGCCCAAAGCACTGTCCTCCTGCAGCACATGGCCTCCAGAGAACAGCAGCGTCTTCTTCCCTGGCAGCCTGTTCATGCAGCGTGGAGCAAGCTTGTTTTGCAGTGCTTGTATAGGCATGCTGCAGCCAAGCTGCTGGCCCACAGCAACACGCCATCCCAAAGCCAACGTGCCCACAGGCAGCCGGGCAAAGCGCTGCCCAGCATCACAGGACAAGTCATGTCACCTCTGCTGTGCCCTGGTGTGAGCAGGGATGGTCCTCTCTCATTACCAAACTTAATGATCTTCTCAAATGACGACACATCTGTGCAGTTTCCAGTACTGAGAAGGTGTCACCTTTCTGGTAGCTGCTTGTTTCCTGGATGTGCTCCTCGTCCCATCATTCAGCTGCACACATCCCCTGCCCACTCTGGACTGTCCTGAGTTGACAGCAAAACACAAATATCAGTTGGCAGTTTCCAGCGTGAGACTTGGCAGTTTACTTGTTGAAAGCAATCCTGGAAACATTTCATATGGGAATGAGCAGCCAGAGGAGACGGTCACAAGCAGCATGGTGTGCTGACCTGGGGCAGGCGAGGCTTGCGAGCGTGACTGGGAACAGGTGTCCAAATCCATAATATGGGAACAAACAATGACACTTGGCATTGAGGTCCAAAACATGACGTCTCTGTGAGCTAATGCAGCAAAGAAAGGACGAGGAAGGAAGCACTACAGAACTCAATTATTATTATTTTTGATGATGAAGGAAATGGAGGTATGGGGGTTGACAGGATTTGCTGCAAGTCACAAAGCAGAACTTTGGATAAAAGCTGGTGAGCATTCAGCTCTTTGGTGCCCATCCTACTTCCACCCCTTTTGCAAAAGGGAGCTGTGGAGCTCCAAGGCTGAAGAGGGCAGAGAGCCTCTTTCTGGAAAGCAGGTGAGCTGTGTAGGGATGATCCTGTAGAAGCACAAACACTCATCCAGTATGTGCCATCTACAGGTTTTGCAGCACATCAGATATGTCTTGGAGCCCCTGGAGCCAGAGGTATCTTTGCAGCTTCTGGAAGACGAATTGAAAAGGAAGAGCAGCCCCTCCTGCAGGTCCTGCCCTCCAAAAAAACCCAGCACTAGTGAGAAAGCAGGAAGTTCCTTTTGGAGTGCATTGACCTGGTTCTGGGGACAGCTGTGATGCAAAAAGAGAAGAATCCAGTGAGTTTCACAACTCTTTGACTTATTTCTCTTCCTCAGTATCCAGGAAGTGGATGAGTTGTAGCATGTGGCTGATGTGTGATTCATTGGCAAGCCTGGCAGCTTGAGGCAAGCAGGGGAATCTCCTGTACTCCTTTGTCATATGCTGTTGAGTAATTAGCAGCAACACAGTAATAGCAGCTCAGGCAGCACCTGATGCTTAGCTGGCTGGGTTATACTTGGTGAAAAGCAGACAGCAGCAGTGGAGGAAAGGACAAGGAGTGGACATCCATGGTGTTGGGGCAAATGCTTTCTCTGCCTTGCCAGCTCCAGTTGTTTATTCCTGCACAGAGCCTGCCTTGCAGCCAAGGCTTCTGAGTGAGGGAGGAAACACTTAAGTAGTAAGTGCTTCTGGGATCTCATTAGCTAATGAGGAGGCGTGCTGATCTTTCAGGAACAAAAAACAAACATGTTTTCAATGGTTGTGTCTCCTGGTTTTCTGCGCTTGGTTACCTTTCCTGTGTTGCAGCATCTGCTTAGCTATTATTTGGCTTTTATTAGCAATAGGTGACGTGAAGGAGGAGGAACAAAAACTGGTACTTGATCATCAGATTTCGGAAATGGTGACACAATCCAAGGGATGTCTACAAATAATGGCCAATAAGAGTCAACCAAGTTTTTTTAATGGAAATCAATTTGGTTTTTTGGTGTGTATTCAGTATGCACTCCATCTGAGAAAACGCTCCCATACAGTGCTGAATGCACAATCAACAGGATGTGCATTTGGATGAATTTGTTTTAATTTTTTTCTCCAAATGAGCACAGAGATGTGCTTCCATGGTGAGTTGGTTTCCTTTCGTGGCTCCCTGCGACCTCCTTTACGGTAAGTCAAACAACTGTTGGAGCAGGTTGACATTGTGAGCTGTCCCTTGAGAAGCCTGGGCCATTTCTGGCACTTTCTTTTGCCTGGAAGCTTCCATCTTCCAAGGAGGAGACACACGTGGTGACAATGCAGCATGCAGTGGGGACTGGACATGGAGCTGCCTCCAACCCTGTCTGAATAAGAAACAATTGTGAGGGGCATAGAGGTGGGAGAGTTCTCTCCATCACAGTGAGCATGCTGAGGTTGCTTTTTTTTTTTTTTTTTTTTTGGAGCTCACCCTCAGCAAAACTACACCTGCTTTAAAGATGAAGTCCTTCTAATTATAAGCACTCTGTTTTAATTTGGTGGCTGCCAGCCCCTCAGTGTCTGTGCTGGAATGCATGTCTCTGTGTGCAGTGATGAGGAACTGGGCTGCTCCGTCACATCCCTTGCAGCCCTCCTGCACACCCTGCAGGGCAGTGGGCACTTCTCACACCCTAAAATGCCTGGGCTGCAGGCATCAAGTGGGGAAGGAGCTCCTGGAGATGAGAAGGATCCTTTGGGCATCCTCTGCCCTCCACACAGCCATCCTGGGTGTCACCCCTTGGAGCTGTGCAGGGTCCCCCACTGTCCCTCTGTCCTCTCAGAGAGATGGAGCTCAGCCACCCCACTCTGAACCAGGGGGCCTGCAGGGAGGCAGCACATCCCCTTTGTGCTCATGGCTGCTGCTGTGTGATCCTCTGCAAACACTTTCTGCCCTCAGAGGCACGCCTTTGTTGGGGCTGGCAGGAGGGGATCTCCCCAGTGCCTGGGACTGAATGAAGCGTCCTGGAGGCTGGCATAGTTCTCTGTCCTCTCTGCACGTGCCAGAAGAATCCAGCACTAAATGGAGTCAAAGAAGCTGTTGCACTGATTTTAATCAAGCCAGTGCTGGCTTGTTCTTTACACTCAATCCTTCAGCTGAAAGCATGAAAGGGCTTGGAGGTCTCTGTGTTTGGCTGCTGCCTTCACTCCCAAAGTCAGAGGGTCTGGGGTCTGCACATCCCCTGCAGCAATGCAGGGCCATGCCCAGCACCTTGCAGTGTGGGCACAATCCCTGCTGCCTTTCATCTGCTGAAAGCCTGGCTGAAATTAATGCCTCCCCCCCTCTCTCTATTTCCCTTGTTTGGAAAACTGGGGAAGGGCTCAGGGAAAGGCAGGTGTGCAAACAGCTCCCGCAGCTCCCCTCTGCTCTTGGCCTGCAAGAAGATATTAAAACAATACATTCAGAACTTTCTGGTAAAAGCTTTTCTCTCTCCATGGGTGGGATACATATCCTTGTCTTGCCCTCGCTGACATGGGACACCTCTGCTGGAGTCTGCTGTTGCTGTCAGATGTGTCCTGTTCTCTGTTCTCCCACACCCCTGGGGTTTGCACAGCCATCTGCAGCTAGAGCAACTCTAAGCACAGCCTTGGAGTTGCTTTGGTGGGTCTGGGAGAGCTTGCTGCTGCCCTGGAGTGCAAGGTCCTGCATAGACCTCCTTCTACCATTCTACCCTACCGACTGCTATCCAGACAAAAAGCATTTCCCTGATGTGTGTGCATTTATTTATATATAGACTTTAAACAGATTCAGCTTGTTATCCTCCATCTCCAGCAAATAGGTTTTCCTGCCTGCGTGTGTGCCCCACTGCGCTAGTGGAGGCCAAGGACAACACAGCCCTGAATGGTTGCTCAGTGCTGCCCAGGAGGCACAGACAGGGAACACAGCACTTCTGCAAGCCCTGTGCCCCTTTGCTGCTCCTGACAGAGCTGTGGGTAACATCACAGTCCCAGTTCCTTGACACAGTGCTGTCTCCACAGCTCTGAACTCCTGGTATGCAGGGAAGAAGCGAGAGCAGACCGAGGTTATGTTCTGGCACCAGCTCTTGGGGTGCCTGGCTGCTGGCTTTGCAGCACACTGACATTCAGCTTCCCCTCTGCAGATTTTGTCCTCCCCCTTGGCACTGGCTGCTGCTCGCCCATCTGACCTTGCTCAGTGCTGACAGCTTCCCGAGGAGCTGGCTGCAGCACAAGTGCAGTGACTGGGAACAGAGGAGGGGGGGATGCTGCAGGAGGGCGAAGTAGCCCAGGGAGCCCTGTGCCACCAGCACCTATTTGCTCACGGGTTGCCCTTGTGCAAGTCCCCTGCAAGCAAGGTGCACGCTTTAGTGCATGAAGATGCTAACAGTTTAACTGGAGTCTGATAACTGGGGCTGTCCTGGGGAAAGCTGGATGTCAGTGGCTTGTTTGATGGAAATAGAGCATCTGGATTCTCTACCTTAAAATAACTCCTTTATGGAAATAGCTGCACTCTGTGTAGAACAGGCTTTGGGCATTAATTGCTGGAGGAGGACTCAGTGCAGGGGTTGAGATCTGGAGGCTGGGATGTGGACACTGAGCAGGGCTGGGAACAGCATCAGCCCAGCAGGAATGGGATGGATGACTACAAACAGGGAGAGGAGACACGGGGAGAAGGGGCCCACGCTGATCCTCCACAGGAAACCCCGGATTAGGACATGGGCTGGGTTGTGCAGCCAGACCCATGGCTGAGCACAGCCCCGCAGCTGTACGAGCGGCAGCAGCAAGCTCAGCTGAATGGCTCTTGGCAGAGGAGCTGGGGCTGGTTACAACAGGAGTGAAAATAAACACCACTGCTGTAACGGGAAGGAGTGGGAGAGAAGGAGCTGGCAGGAAGCTGTCACTTTCCCAGTGTGGGGCTGGGACTTGCAGACCCAGAGCCCTGCTTGTGCCCCCTGCAGCCGCTGGGCTGAGGACAGTGTGGAGCTGAGCTCGGTGCTGGCAGCTGCAGCGTGTGCTATCTGAACCCTTCCGGTAGTCCTGGCTGTGCCAAACCCCATCCTTGGCTGCCACTGTGACAGCACAGGGTGCTGATGGCTGCAGGGGACATTGCCCAGGGTGGTGCCTCTGCTGTGGGATCTGCAGGGTGGGGAGCACCGGCCTCTGGTCCTGGGTTGTGGGCTGTGGGCTGGTTGCTGTCCCGGAATCAGTCTGCTGGGCTTTACACACGATTCCAGCAAAGCAGCCTTTAAGGAGACCCAGGGTCTGCTTGTCACCATGGAAAGGACACAAAGCAAAGCAGGATGGCGGGGCTGCACCCATGGCACTGACACGCCTCTCCCTCTGCCTACAGGCTAGTACAACTGGCAGGGTCCATCTCGGATAGATGCGGATGATGCCAGAGCTATGACAGGGATTGCAGTCCTGGCACTGAGGGGTGATCAGTTATGGAACAACTACAGGAGGAAGTACCTGAGGTCAGGGAAGAGGAGGAGGAAGAGGAAGAGGCAGTGACAGTGCCTAGCGGAGCCTCGGACCCAAGTGTAGGACCAGACAGCTCACTGCCCTCGAGCAGCTACACCGGTGAGTGGAGCCACATCCCCCACAGTCACAGAGAAGGGCCTGCATGTGAACAGAGCTGGGCTTCTGGTGGTCTCACGCAGTAATTAATTGAGCGCCAAAGCATGGAGGATCTATTTCTTCCTCTGCAGTCACCACACAGCCGGTGGCAGTGGTTGGGAGATGGAAATAGAGCCAGGAGGTGGGGGTGAGCCCCAGAGTGTGCATATTGAAGAGGGGAGGTCTCCCAGGGTGCTGAGAACCATTCTTTGTCTGCTTCTTGAAATCCTCAGTGCAAACTGATCGTATGAGTTATGCTAGCTACACTGCAAAACTTGTGGAGAGGTTTCACTGCCGAAAGTTAAGCTCTAGAGTCCTTCTGATCCTTCTGAACTCAGCACTGATGTGGAGCCTTTTAGCTCCTGACAGCGCTGTGGCTCCATACATGGCATCAGCCTGTGGTCAGTGCCTAATCTCAGAGGCTAACCACCCAAACACAGCTCTGGAGGCGGTGCTGGAAATGCCTCATCAGCCCCATTCTGGTGGGGTTGGGTGCAACGCTGTGCTTGTGGCTGCTGTTCAGAAGGACAGATTCTGTTATGTTTGCAGACCTTTCACAGAGCTCCTCTCCCTCCCTGTCAGACCAACTGCAGATGGGCTGTGAGGAGACGGCCTCGGGGGCGCTGAACGTGGAGTGCAGAGTCTGTGGAGACAAAGCCTCGGGCTTCCACTATGGTGTGCACGCCTGCGAGGGCTGCAAGGTGCGTCCTCCCCGGGGAGCGTGGGGTTCAGCCTGGGTCAGACAAACATGTCCCACTTCTTAGCTTGTTACGCTTTATTTTGTAAAGCAAATCCTTCTACCCCAATGGGGACCTTGGCTTTGCTTTTAAAGATGCTGTCTGTGCTGCAGATCAGCCATGAGCTGTGTGTTTATCCCACTGGGATCGCCGGCCACAGCTTGGCCGCACCTCTAAAATTCCTTCCCCCCGCACCAGATGCCAGCGGAGCTGCATTAGCAGTGAGGCCCTGCCAGACTTCCCTGCAGGCTGGGGCCCACAGCCTGTTCCTCCATCCCTCCCTGCTGGCTGCATGCAGTATCACACACCCAGTCCCACTCTACCCCTTTTCCCACCACACCACCTCTCCTTGTGGCTCTGTGCTGAAAACACCCAGTGGAGGATGAACCTTGAAGCTGCTGTGGATAACAAACTGGCCTGATCCTAAAGTGTGGGTGCTAACGCTGCTGTTCCCTTGTTTCCCTGCTCCTCATCCCACTCTGTGCAGGGTTTCTTCCGCCGGACGATCCGCATGAAGCTGGAATATGAAAAGTGTGAGAGAAGCTGCAAGATTCAGAAGAAGAACCGGAATAAGTGCCAGTACTGCCGCTTCCAGAAATGCCTCTCGTTGGGCATGTCACATAATGGTGAGTGTCACTGTTTTCCTGGGCATGCTGGTGAGGTGCCCTGGGCCATCTGTCCCATGAGCAATTCTTCATCCCGAGGATTCACGGGCAGATAGTGACAGGACAAGGGGAAACAATTTTAAACTAAAAGAGGGGAGATTTAGGTTAGATGTTAGGAGGAAATCTTTTACCCAGAGGGCAGCAAGGCTCTGGCACTGCTTCTCAATGCTTTGGGTGCCCCTACCCTAGAGATGCCTGAGGCAAGGAAGGGGTCATGGGCAGCCTAAGCTGGTGGGGGTACCCAGCCCACAGCAGGGGTAGGACTAGGAGGCTGTAAGCTCTCTTCCAACCCAACCATTCCATGGTTCTGTGATTCACATGGAGAGGCCATATGTAGCTTGCATTACGCTGTGACTTTTTTTGCCAAGGAATCAGCTTCTTTCAAGCCCAGCAGGGCGTTGGGCCTCATCTTCCATTTCTTTCGTACCAGAATGGGCGTTTTCATCCTGCCATGCAGGCTGGCTGCTGGCACATGGCTCTCCCTTTTGTGTTGGCCCGGTGGGAACTAGGCACACAGCTTGCTGGGATTTTTGAACTTCAGGTGGAACCATCTTGCTTCTGGCCCAGCCAAGGTGTTTATGTGGGAAGCAGGGCTTGTGGTAGAGCCCATATGAGTGGAGATGAGAGGCTATGTTGTCTGATTCTCTGGTTTTGCTCCTCGCAGCGATCCGCTTTGGCCGCATGCCGGAGGCAGAGAAGAGGAAGCTGGTAGCTGGGCTGACGGCAAGTGAGATCAGCTGCCAGAACCCACAGGTGGCCGACCTGAAAGCTTTCTCCAAGCACATCTACCACGCCTACCTGAAAAATTTCAACATGACCAAAAAGAAAGCGAGAGGTATCTTGACCGGGAAGGCCAGCAGCACCCCAGTAAGTTCTCTCCAGTGGCAGGCAGGGCTGGCTGCAGCCCGTGTGGGGGGGACTGTTCTCTGGGCTCGTCTTCCTCCTGCTGTAACTACTGCACATGCACCAGTTCCCTGCTATGTGGTCGTTACATGTCTTGCACATGCTGGAAAAATTCCCACCTCTCCTCAGACTTGTGCACGTGTGTGTGGGTGCCGTTTGCCAGTGCTCCCTTAGCAGCAGCAGGAGAGAGCAGCAAATGGACAGGCAGAGGCGAGTGTCCTGGGCAGAGCATGAGTGCAGCAGGTTCCTGACCACTCTCTTCTTTTTCAAGCAGCCTTTTGTGATCCATGACATGGACACCCTGTGGCAAGCAGAAAAGGGGCTGGTCTGGAAACAGCTGGTGAATGGGATCCCCCCCTACAAGGAGATTGGCGTGCACGTCTTCTACCGCTGCCAGTGCACCACTGTAGAAACTGTGCGGGAGCTCACCGAGTTCGCCAAGAGCATCCCCAGCTTCATAGGCCTCTACTTGAATGACCAAGTGACTCTGCTGAAGTATGGGGTGCACGAGGCCATCTTTGCCATGCTGGCCTCTATCATGAACAAGGATGGGCTGCTGGTGGCCAACGGGAATGGCTTCGTGACCCGCGAGTTCCTGCGTAGCTTGCGCAAGCCCTTCAACGAGATCATGGAGCCCAAGTTTGAGTTTGCTGTGAAGTTCAACGCACTGGAGCTGGATGACAGCGACCTGTCTCTGTTTGTGGCTGCCATTATCCTGTGCGGAGGTGAGCAGATACAGAATCCCCCAGGGATATGGGGACTGGAGGGGCCGGGCTGCAGCTAACCCAGTGCTTCAGCAGGGCCTTTGCTGGCAGAGGTCAGGCATGGATGCCTTATCATAGTATCATACAATGGTTTATGTTGGAAGAGATCTTTAAGTTTAATCTGGTTTAAACCCCATGCCATGGGTTGCAAGTCTTAGAGGGGTGAGAGAAGAACTGAACAGTTCTGACTCCCAAGATTGCACCAAGTACCATCCCTTTCTCATCAGCTGCTCTAGGACGTGCAGTCTGAGGGCATGCACTTTCCCCCTTTTCTTGGTTGACCAGATTGGAGTCACTATGGGCGGGTTCCACTCCCCATCTCCATGCCTCCACATAACACCACCTACCATGCTTCCTCCCCACAGACCGTCCCGGCCTGATGAACGTGAAGCAGGTGGAGGAGATCCAAGACAACATCCTCCGAGCGCTGGAGTTCCACCTGCAGTCCAACCACCCGGACGCCCAGTACCTCTTCCCCAAGCTGCTGCAGAAGATGGCTGACCTGCGGCAGCTGGTGACAGAGCATGCCCAGCTGGTGCAGAAGATCAAGAAGACAGAGACAGAGACCTCCCTGCACCCTCTCCTGCAGGAGATCTACAAGGACATGTACTAAGGACCTCTTATTTATGAGAATGAAGCCATGGATTCCAAGCGAGACTCTTTGTACAAAAACAAAGAAAACCTTTCCCCATGTCTTCCATTTCTTCTACTGGAAACTCTTTTCTACACGACTCCAATGTACGGTACATAGGGCAAGGCACCGGAAGGTTTTGCAGTCACCTCCTGGTAGCTTGGGACTTCCATTGACACACTAATGAATTTACTAAGGCAAATCATAAGCTACTGTTTCCATTACTGTGGGGCCTCCAGAGCAGCCGGGTGGTTTGCATGGCATGGACAGGGGATTCCTGCAGCAGCTTGGGGCTAGTGGGGGCTGCTCTGGTTATTGAGAGCCCCCAGCATGGTGTGGTTTCCCCGTGGGCAGCAGCTGCACTTGGGGTGTGTCTGTCATATTGCACTCTGAAGATGTAGTCCTGAGCTGTGAAGTTTAGGACAGTGGCACAAAAGGAAGTATTTCTCTTCCCCAAGGAAAAGCTGGCGTATTTGAAGACGTGTATGGCTGTCCTAGCAAAGAGCCTTGGCTGCAGCCCCCCTCTCTGTGCTCCCAGTGCCTCCACTTCAGAGGAACCTGTCCCTTAGCACCTCTGTGTCAAAGAGGGGAGGGAAGGGGTTGACTCAAGAATTCACCTTCGGAGCTGAGGCTCGTGATCCTTTTGCTTCCCCAGGCAGTTCTGTGCAGATAGGAGTTCCAGAAAGGTCTGCGCAGGGCAGGTTTGGGATGAGATGGCTGTGCAAGCTCCCTGCAAGCACCAGAGCAAGCAAAGTCTTTAGCAACACCAGCATGGGGAAAGTCACGGTCAGCCCACAGAGCCCAGGGTGCTGACAGGGTGTTTGTGGGGCTGTGGGGAGGGAGCACATCGCGGGCTGGAAGGTTCTGCAGAAGAGATCTGGTGATCCACGGCACCAGCAGAGCAGCCCTGACGGAGGAACAGCAGCACTGGGGAGCGCAGGAGATCGCTGCACCCCAACCTGGTGTTGCTGCCACCAGAGTGTGCGTGGCCTTCGCCCCTCTGCTTAAGGCTGTGCCTCAGTTTCCCCCTCCAGGAAAGGGAGCCGGCTGCCCTTTGCTCAGAAGGGGAAAACGAAAATCAATCAGTGTACTGGTTGCAAAGAGCTTTGCAGCTGTAAAACACAGTATAAACACCAACTATTCATAAGGGGGAGGGTTGCTTCCCCTGCCCTGTTCCACCCATACCCTGAGCTCGGGGACAGCTTTGGGTTCTGGCCTTCCCCTCCATGCTGCTGGGCTGGCAATCCCACACCTGCTGCTGCCCTCTGCCTCCTCACTGTGCCTCAGTTTCCCCACCCTCACCTCTCAGCCGTACCTTGCAGGGCTGTTAAGGAGTTACCGTTTCTAAAGCACTTTGAAGTCCTCTGGGGAAGGCACCAGAGGTGTGTGCTGCTCCCAGCATGGGGGTCTGTCCCCAAAGCCCCCGCTGGCCCCCAAAGCTCGGTGGCACCCCCAGGGCACGTGGACCCCTGCATTGGTCACCTGGGGAACTTTTTGCTCTTTCCCTCAGTGTAACAACCCTCAAACTGAAATGTATATTTTTGCTAGAAGTACAAACCTCCAGGTGTTTTTAATAATATGAATAGTGTCTGCAAACTGATGACTTTAAATAAATCTGAACTAAATATTTAAGCACCTTTTAGCACCCAGCCCTTCTGTGCAGGATTGAGCACTCAGGTTGTTTCCAGTGCAGGGCATGGGATGCATTTCTATTCCTGCCTGCATTCTGCATTTCCAACGGGACCAAAAGGCAGTGGGAGCGTGTTGTCAGTGATGTGGTCTCAGCTTCATTTAAGTGCTCCCTGCCCCAGATCTAAAGTGAACCAGCAGAGTGAACCTGCTCAGGTGCTCCAGGGGAAGTCACACCGTGTCCCTTTGCATTTCCCATACCTGATTTATGGCAATTTGGGGATAGAGAGCTTCCCCACACCTCCCACCAGCATGAGGAAAAGCAGGGCAAGGGTTAACACAATTAAGGTGAGGGTGTGCCCACCCCACCAAGGTCATAAAAGCCCCAGAGGTACCTCTCACCCTCCGTACTGCTGGAGGAAATGGAGCCGAGCTCGCTGGTGGCACCGGGGGCACAACGGGGCCGGGGGTCCTCTGTGAGACCCCTGTGCAGGTAGGGCTTGGGGAGGGGGGCTGCTGGAAAGGCTTTGGAGGAGAACGGGCTTTGAGCAGAGCCCCATTGAAGGGCAGCATCGTGTCTCTAGAATTCCCATTTCCCCCCCCCTCCCACCCCCGGCGTTTCCCCTGGAGAGTGTTGGGTTGAAGAGGGAAGCGCCCGGCGGCCCCTCCGAGCTGGGGGTCCAGGGTGGGTGCCCCGTGTTGAGGAGTCCCTGCTGCCTTCTGCCCCCTATGGGGAGCTGGGGGGGTACCTCAGGGTTGTGCAGTTCAGGTCCCTCCTCCAGCCCAGCCTCGGGCTTCGTTTGCCTCGCAATTAGCGGGGAGATAAGGCTGAGTCGAAAGCACCGCTGGGGACAAAATGTGGTCGCATCCTTAAAAGCTACTGCTGGGGGGTGATGCTCCATCCCTGCTTTTTGGGGCAGCCCCCCGGCCATGGAGTTTCTCCCTTTCCGCAGGAATTTTGCCCGCGGTTCGTGCAGGTTTGGGCAGCGCTGCCGATTCTCGCACGGCACGAAGGTTCCCCCGGCCAGGCACCGCGCTCCGGGAGAGTGAGTGAATGAATGGGGACGGGTCGGGGGGCGGGACTGGCAGCGGGGGGGTGACTCCTCTTCGTGTCTCCTCTGTGTGTCCCCGCGCTCCTCCAGCTCCCAGCACGACCCGGAGCAGCCGCTGCCCGCAGTGAACGGCCGCAGCCCGGTGCACCCCCGCCGGGGGGGGTCAGAGCAGGGGGCGGTGGTCCGGAGCCGGGGAGGAGCGGGGCACAGCTCTGCTGCCAGCGCAACGCGGGCAGCCTTCGGACTGCCACGGGCGGAGGAAGAGGATGGCACTGAGAACATCCCGGCAAGCGGTGACCCCCCCGGATGTGCTGTCCGTGGAGGATTCGGCTCTGCGAGAGCTCGGAGTGCCGCAGGTGGGTGCCGGGCTGCCCCAGGACCAGCGGGGCTGTGGGTGGCGGTGGAGCACCCTGCACGTGTCTGCCCTTGTCCCACATCTTTCCCCCCCCCCCCCCCCAAAATAAAGCCATGCTGGGGCTGTGGGAAACTCTCCTGCTCTCTTTGTAAGGGATGGGGGCACCTGAGTGCTGAGCCTGTGTTCTGCGGGCAGGTGGAACCGACGGTGGGGTGGGATGTGCTTTTCTAACAGCTCCTCTGTGCTCAGGCTCCCACCTGAAGGGGCTGAGACCAGATCCCAGTTCCCCAGCCCCCAGCAAAGCAGTGCAGACGGCGTGGGCTCAGTGCTCGGAGGTGGGTTCAGTCTCACGGCTGTGCAGCCCTTGTCATCCCGCTTGACCCTCTGGTGTGAAGCCACGGGCTGCAGTGCTGTGCTGTTCGGTTTGTAGGATCCCATAGAGCTCGGTGCTGCCGCAGCTCCGGTATCCATCACAGATCTGAGGGCACGCAGCGAGGCTGTGGTGTGCGGCATTTGCATGGAGCGGGTCTTCGAGAAGGCACTGCCGGAGGAGCGGCTCTTTGGGATCCTCCCCAACTGCAGCCACGCTTTCTGTCTGGGCTGCATCCGCACGTGGAGACGCAGCCGGGACTTCCCAAAAACGGTCAGCAAGTGAGTGTCGTAGGGACACACGGGCAGTGCAGGGATGGGGTCACTGCCCCACTGCTCCGTGCCCTGAAGCCTTTCCTTGAGAGTGGGAGCTGTGATGAGGACGCTGGGTGCTCCCACGAGGGTACTGAGCTCTGCCAGGGCTGCTCCCTTTTTAGGACCCATCTCAGGTTGGCTATTAGGAAAAAAATCTTACCAGGAAGATGGTCAGGAATTGGCACGGGATACCCAGGAGTGGTGGTGTCACCTGGAGGGGTTCAAGACGTGGCACTGAGGGATGCGGTCTGTGGGGGTGGGGTTGAACTTAAGGATCTCAGAGGTCTTCCAACCTTAATGGTTCTATTACATTCACCCAGAGCCTGCCCAGAGTGCCGGCTCACCTCCACCTACTACATCCCCCACAAGTTCTGGCTCTCAGATGGAGACGAGAAGCAGCAGCTCATCGAAAGCTTCAAGGCACGGACAGGGTGAGTGCACAGCACCGCGGGCTCTGCAGCGCTCCAGCAGTGCTCACAGCTGCTGTTTGAACCCTGCAGGCAAATCAGGTGCAAATTCTTCACCCGGAACCACGGCCGCTGCCCTTTTGGCTCTGACTGCATCTACCTGCACGAGCTGCCCATTGGGCGAACAGCACTGCGGCACAGCCGGCAGCGCCTGAGGATGCGTGCAGTGAGTGGGGCAATGCATCATTTGGGGTAGGGGCACCGTGGGGCCGGGCTCACCATCTGTCCTGTGCCACAGGAGCGCAGCCCTTCTCCCTTGGAAAGCTCTGATGAGGAAGAAGATGAATTCTACCTGCTTGAATGGGCTGTCACCAGCGCTCTGCTGGAGCTGGAGTTGCTGTACACAAGTTATAGCCATGGGATGTTCTTTGAGGACATTAGTGATTCAGACTGAACCCTGGGTATTCGCTAGGTGCTCTTGGCTTCAAGGAAGCATCTTCTGGGAATGGAATAATCCACTTTTAATGCTTTGAGCTGCTCCTGGCTTTGGTATGGGGGGAGGGAGGATAGCTGTGGGGTGGGGAATGGGACGGTCCGGCTGCTGCGAGCCTGGCTGGAGCCCGTGGAGCCGGGTGATGAGGCGGGGAGTGTGGGGCAACGGGGTTCAGCCCCTCCTGTTGCACCTCTGGGAGACTGCAGGAGCCGGGATAGGGAGGGAGGTTTTAAGGCACAGAGTGCTGAGAGGAACGGGGAGCCGGGCTGCCCTGGGGCGCGGTTTTTAAACTGTTTTTAGCGAAATCTAGGAACGACGAAATAAAACAGCGCAGACGCTGCCTTCAGCCCTCCCGTCCGAGCGGCTCGGCGCGTTCGCCTTTAAGGGCTCCTTTGCACTCGGCACGTGGGATCATTTGCATACAGCGCGCGCTTTTGGGTTTTTTTGCCGCGCCCGGTGCGGAAGTGGCGCGCGTGGCTCCGAGCGCCTCATCGTCCCCAGCACGGATGGGCAGGGAGGGGAGCAGCGCTCTGCGCTCCGCCTGGAGCTGCGGCTGCCGCCGGAGAGCGGCGTGTGGAGGTGCCCCAT